TTTTATTCAATAAGTTTGTTTTTTTATTAAGTGTTAATTAATCCATGTCTACATATTAAATTACGTATTTATAATGGCCGATTCTCTTACACTAATTTCCTTTAAAAATACAATTTTTAACATTTCCTACTTTAAATTTTGTATTCAAGTTTTTTCATTGATTTATGCTTATATTTTTTTATTTTTTTTATTTTTTTATTTTTTTATTTTTTTATAATCTTTAATTTAAATTTTTAGTATTAATTATATATTACTTATAAATAAAATATATTTTTATTTAAATATTAAAAATTTATTAAAAATAAAAAATTTGCTTTACAGTGAAAAATACTTTCTTTGAGGGTGCATTATTGGTTGAGCCGCACCGCGCTCGGAGGAAGGGTCACACAAACTGGGAAGTCACGTGCCATGCCACCGCTCTGCAATCAAAAGCATTAAAAAGTCGACTGACCAATGTTGTAAATGCAATGCAACATAAAGGCCGTTCATGTCAGATGATCTGTTGTATAGTTTTGAAAATAGTTAATTCATTACTTCGTATTATTATATCTGTCGCAAAGATGTTTAGAATTGAATGGTTACTATCATTATCCTTTTAATAGTTTTTTTCAACTAAGGTCAATACGGTCCGTTTGAATGACTTTTTTTTTTTTTTTTTAAAAACTGCTTTTTTTCAAGAAAAAAACACTTCTTCATTTAGATGTGCTTTTAGAAAAAAAAAAAGTCACAAAAAGTCAAAAACTTATTTTTTCCAGAAGTTAAAAATTTTAACTTCTATAAAAAGCAAAAGTCAAAAGCCAATTTTTTTTTCAAAAATTAAATATTTTTATAAAAATATAAATAATTTTAACTTTTATAAAAAGTACCGAAGAGATAAAAGTTCCTTTTTTAAAAAGTCCAAAGAAACGAGCTCAATCTATGTAATATAAGTCATTGGGCAAATTATAATATAATTAAAATTATATTATAATTTTAAAAGTTTGGAACAAGCTTGAAAAAAAAAGGATACAAACAAATAATAATAGAAAATGATTCTTTATATGTAATTACAGTGCTCACTAGACTTGGTGATGCGGCCCGAGAGTCTCCTCTTCTAACTCGTATTCGGGCATGACTAAATAAAGATTGGCAGATGCATCTTGAACATGTCTATAAAGAGGATAATACGTGTGCAAACTGATTATCCAACTATCCCTTAGATCACCTTTAAGATGCTGATTTTCATTTTTACCACTTTCCTCAGTTAGGCATTTATTTTTAGCTTATGTAACCTTTGTTTTTCTCGTTTAGTTACTTTTGTAATTCTTGTTTCTGCCGGGGCTATGCCCTTAAGCTTAAAAAATAAATAAAATTATTTACATTATTTCATACTGAACTTTTTTAAAAAAAATGGTTTACTACACGCAAAACTTAACAAAATTAAATATTTTAACGTCTAATCAAATTTAAAAGGTAATTAAAATATATGATTTATGAGCATCAAAATTTAAAGAGTAAATTTATATAATTTTCAAACTAAAACTATTGCAAGACTAGTATTTTCCACGCGTAGATTTTTTTTTTAAAATAAAAAAAACTACGTGTGCATATTATTTAATAATTATTTTATTTTATATTTTCATTTGAAATATATTATGTATGCATATATTAATTCTATTATTTTTTTATTCATACAAATACTGTTAATATAATATCATTCACTTTAAAACAAACTATTATAAAGTAGTATAATAAAAAATGATGACCAGCGAAATTGTAATTCAAGAATGGATTAATTTTTCTTATATTATAATAGATAATTTTATTTCTTACATACACATAAAAATATATGAAATTTATGTGAAGAAAAACAAAAATATAAACTCCATATATCTTTATATTTATATATATATATATATATATATATAAAATAATTTTATCTTGTACAATACCAATAAAAAAGGACTTATTGTACATCCTTAAAGAAGTGTGTATTTAACATTATTGACTTTAAGCGACATGAGTGACTTGGGAAGTTATGTCCAAACGATAACATCAATCTTCTTTTCCGGAATTCTTAAGGTACTCATGTTGTCCTACAAACTCAGTATGAGGAACCAATCAAAATCGAATAGAGAAAGCGTAAGTTGTATGGAATAGGAAGAATTTTTTTTTTTAATCAAAATATAAATTTTGAATGAGAGGCACACATACGACGGGCATTGAAAAAGTATTTCTTCTTTTCTAATTAATGTGTTTGTATCTTCAATATAGTCCAAATAAATATTTTGCTACTATTGATCGATAAAAATGTTACAATTTAGTCCATTTTTAACGTGAACGATAACTATGTATAAATATCTCATAGATAATTTTATCTATTTGTAGCTCTCGGCAATACTGACGGTTATTTTGAATACTTTTATTGTTGATTTAAATACTTTGTTAGAAAGTGCTTGAGAATAATAAATAATAAATAAAAGGATAAATTATATTCTCTTCTCCTTGTTAAATGAAAATATGTTACATTCAAGAATGAAATTTTAATATTTGTCTGGTGGCTATAAATAACTGCAATTGGATATTTCACAGATAATTTTACTCTCTTTCTGATTTTCTACATGATTAACAATTAGTTTTGAATATTTTTATTAACAATATTATATATTAAATTAAGATTTTAGTTAAAGTTATAAAGCTGATAGTATATATTTATATTTTATCTTTTAAAATTTAAAATGATTTTAGCATTTTTACTTTTGCTGCATAAATTTTTTCTCTGCCATACTTACATAAAACTGAGTGAATTTCACTAATTTTTCTCTCTCTTCTTTTAATAATAAGACCTGCTCAATTTTATATGAATGTAACCGATAAAAAATAGCTGCAGTAAAAGAAAAATATTTTTCCAATTTAAAATTCAATGATGTTGAAAATTAGAGGTGAAGATTTGTAGAGAAAGGAAAAGTGTAAAGTTTTTAAGCTTTATAAAAATATATTTATGTTATTTTTTTTTAAAGAATTTATTGAAAAGTCAGAATTAGGTTATATTTCGATCAATATTTAAAATCGTTTTTAAGTAAAAAAAATAGGATTTTGGCTTTTTTCAATTTTCATATTATATAAAAATAATTTATTCTTCTACAGATATAATAAACATGTGGATCCTATTGATAAAAGGAAAGAGAATTTTTTTTAATAGAACCCACATATTTATTGTATGTGTAAGAGAAGATTTAAAAGTGTTTGCTTTTAGAAAAAAAATTACGTTTTTTAACTTTTTTGTCTAACTTTTTTTTTTAAAGCAACCTCCAAAAACATTTACAGATAATTTTTTTTTAAGAAAATAACTTCTTGAAACAAAAAATCCCATCTAAATTCTAAATGGTCAGCTATTACAAATTGTGAAAAATTGTGAGTGCGGTAAAGTGATTAAGTGAGACTCGGGTTTTGGACTCGTAGGTGCATACCGAACTGCATTGAGTCAACTACCATGAGTACATGTGTCAATATTCCCAACTATTCTTAATTTTCCTTTCTTTATTTTCTATTAAGCCTAGGCTTGTTTTTTTTTGAAGGGTTTTATTAATCTCATGTTAAGGGAGATAGTTATCTCATGTCATAGAGATAAATTTGTGGGCTCCACCATCTGAAAAAATGAAAGAAAAAGGTGACACGATTATCGAAGGATGTGTAGGAGAGAAAACTTATCTAATATAACATAAGAATAATTTTTCCCTTTTTTAAATTCCTACTAGGCTACTACCCCTTCTAAAATGTACTATTCAATATTCATACTCATTCGGACATAATTAACTTATATGAGTAAAGAACTAGAGATGATCCGTTGTTAATTCCTAATATGTTGCAGTTTCATGATCAATCTGAATCAGGGAAGGCCATCACTGCATTATATGCTAAACAAGTTTATATATATATATATATATATATAGTTTGTAAAATAAATCTATAAAAATATTCTTGCTAAAAAATTAAATTAAATCAAACAGGCTCTAAATTTTTTGGTTAAAGTGTCCAAAGTATAGATGTTTAACTTAAAAAGTGAAAATTAATATTAATGATGTTTGAAATTCACTAGTAATGACATAGAGTCATAAAAAAAAACTGCAGGGATTGTATATAACTGCTCGTCATTGCCGAGAGATTAGTACACGCTAAAATAATCTAGAGTGTATATATCAAAAAAAAAAAAAAAAAATCTAGAGTGAAATACATTTTCAATTTATCCTAAATGAAAATAAAGCCTTTTTTATTTCTTAACATATTAAATATTGTTTTCAATTTAATATTTTCAAAAAATAATTTTGTCTGAGTGATATAGGAGGACACCGGTTAGAAAAACTTTAATAAATAAAAAACAATAAATGATAATTCTTCACTTATTTATTCAATGAAAAAGTAATTATAAAACATTAGTTTTCGTCGATGAAAAAGTTAGGATATTCTTACTGTCCATTTTTTTTTACAACCACTTTACTGCCACTTTAATCATTATTGGATTAGAGGAAAAGTTGAATGAAGAGAGAAAAAAAAAAATAACTTTTGAATTCAATGATAATTAAAGTAGTAGTGGAGAAGCAGTAAAAAAAAATTAATAGTAAAAATTAATATTATATAGCGAAGAAGAAAAAAAGAAAGAAAAGTTGTAAGCACAATACACGGATTTTGCTGCTCATCCTTCTTCCTTACTCTCTGTGTACTTATTTTCACGTGATTCTGACCTATGCATTCAGACACCTCCTATAACCTTTTGTCACGTACTGCTTGCTTCTCTCCCATTCCTTTTCTCTCTCTTTTCCCCCCCTCCTGTCCATGTCTCTTTCTGTCTATGTGGGTCTTGTAAAACGTAAAAGCCTATTCCTTTACCTTGTAACTTAACATATGAAATGGACAAATCCATACTGTGTTAAAAATAAATAAAACAGAAACAGAACAAAATCACTTGATGCGCATAAACTTCATTTCTTGTGCTGGTCAGCGTCTCTAGTTGATTTTGAAGAATGAGGAAGTGGTGGCTGTTGCTGTTGTTGTTGTTCCTGGTTTCAAATGATGTATTTTGCTCTAGCTCCAAACTCGCAGACGATGCTGGCGCCTTGCTTGCATTCAAATCGAAAGCTGATGTAAACAAGAACCTCCACTTTAAGGGTCTCCGTATGTGTTTGTGGGAAGGTGTGGAATGCAACGGACTCAAAGTGGTACATCTCGTTCTGCAAGGTTTAGATCTCGGTGGCGTATTCGCTCCAAACACATTGTCTCTTCTTGACCAACTCAGAGTCCTTAGTTTGCAGAACAACTCCTTAACAGGACCCATACCTGACCTCTCTGGTCTCTTCAATCTCAAAAGCCTCTTCCTTGACAACAACCACTTCACCGGTTCTCTCCCTCCTTCACTCTTCTCCCTTCACAGGCTTCGAACCTTGGATTTCTCTCACAACAATCTCTCTGGACCCATCCCCACTGGCTTCATCAAACTAGATCGCCTCTACTATCTCCGTTTAAGTTGGAACACATTCAATGGAACCATCCCTCCTTTTAACCAGTCCTCTCTCCGAACCCTCGACCTCTCCGGCAACAACCTCACCGGTCCCATTCCCGTTACCCCGGCACTCTTCCGTTTTGAGCCCTCATCCTTCTCTTCCAACCCAGGTCTCTGCGGTGAGATCATCCACAAAGAATGCCACCCCACCGCGCCTTTCTTCAGACCCACATCGCCGCCGACGGCGGGGCTCGGCCAGAGCGCGAAAGTCCACGGCTTTTTCCGGCAGCCGTACGAGAAAAAGCGCGACCGGAGGGCGGTGATTATCGGGTTCTCAACCGGAGTATTCGTTCTGATCGGTTCGCTGTTGTGCTTCGTGGTGGCCATAAAGAAACAGAGAAACAAGAAAGAAGGTGGTTCGAGTATAATAATGGCTTCGGATGCGGCGGCGACGGCAGAAGCTGCGGCTGCGATGCAAATGGAGCAAGAGAGGGAGTTGGAGGAGAAGGTGAAGAGAGCGCAAGTGGCAAAGAGTGGGAGTTTGGTATTCTGTGCGGGGGAGGCACAGGTGTATACCCTGGACCAGTTGATGAAGGGTTCAGCTGAGCTATTGGGCAGAGGGTGTTTGGGAACAACGTATAAGGCGGTGCTTGATAACCGTCTGATCGTGACGGTGAAAAGGCTTGATGCTGGGAAAATGGCAGCTTCAGTCGCAACCAAGGAAGTGTTCGAGCGTCACATGGAATCCGTGGGTGGCCTTCGCCATCCCAATTTGGTTCCCCTCAGGGCTTATTTTCAGGCCAAACAAGAAAGACTCATTATCTACGATTACCAGCCTAATGGAAGTCTCTTCTCCCTCATACACGGTACCTATTCCCTAATCTTTCTCTGCATTTCATTTGCCATCACTCACTGAGTCAACCCATTCACTCCAACTCGGTCTCATGTTACTTACTTACTTAAATTTAATAATACTAATAATAATAATAAAGTGCATTTCGTTGATATTAGCAAAATAAATATTGACTAGAAGTCAGGAGTGCGTGGAAAGTCTCTAGTACATGTGATCGCATCGCATTGTTAGATTTGATAACATTTATAAGCTTTTTCAACAAGCACCGAGAATCTTGCTGCTGACTAGTGACTACATAGGAATTGCTTATGTATATTAATGAATTATTTTAAGATAAGATAGTGAATTAATTAAACAAAACATCAGTGTCTAGTGACTAGTTCTGTCGTATAGCGAGCTGAGCTGTTTTTCTAGCACATATATTTTTTGGGGTCCAATCCTAACAGGCAGATGCTATTACTTGATGAAAGATTTTTAGAAAATAAGCAAGGGTGTTCTATTTTTACATCATCTTTGGACTTTAGCCATTGCTAGTTGGGTTGGGGGGGCTGGAATAGCTGTTAATTACGTAGCCAGACATCGCTGAATTCGGGATCATATAGATTGCGTCGAAAGGTAAACTTGGGCATTACTATGTCGGGGGATCATCGTACGAGCTTTGATAAGCCATTAAAATCTGTGTAGTCGTTGGACTGGAGGAAGATCCTGCGTCCTGATTGAATAGTTTTAAATCGCCCGCACCATCGTGGGGGGACATTGGAGGTGGAACCCAGGGTGCTTGGTTGATTATAACTTGCTGATGCCCTAAATCTAATTATTTGTCCTTCTAGGTCCCTATCAATACCATATCTGCTACATATACCACCTTGTATTATTGTATTTCTTTGTGAAAATTGTGAGTACGGTAAAACTTCAAAAGGATGAATAGTTTTTCTTTTCTTTTTTTTGTCAAAATACAATTAACATGTAGAAAAGGATTTTCTCTTGTACAGCTACAGCTATACAGTCACACACAATTATTATTATTTTTGGGTAAATACACAATTATTTCCATTAGCGTTTGTATCACATATGATTTTTGCCCCCATCCTTCTAATACAAAAAGGGATTAACGTTTCTCTCGTCATTGGGTATAAAATTATCTTCTGCAACATCAAAATGACGTCGTTTTGCAGTTAAAGATTAAAAAATACATGGTATTTTAATAAAATTTATGATACAAAGAGAAATGTTAAATTTTCAAAATGCCTTTTATTATTTAATGAAAAATCCCAAAACAACGTTGTTTTGGGATTGTATGACATAATTTTATCTAGGAAACACTTTTTCCTAAAAAAAAAAAAATTAAATTTCAGCACAAAGCATGTGGATCCATATGCATTATTCACCTTTAGAAAAAGCTCTTAGGTGGGGGGATGGATGTGTTAAATACAATATAGACATTAGACATATAATAAAATCATTCATATGTCTTCATCCAACATCTTAAAAATTTGGGATAGTTGGTTGGTTGGTGTCAGTTAAGTGATTGAAACTGAGGTCTTGGACTTGGTTGGTGTCAGTTAAGTGATTGAAACTGAGGTCTTGGACTTGGTAGATGCAAACGAAACTGCATTGAATCAACTACCATGAGTCAGAGGTTAATATTACTAACTATTTATAATTTTTCTTTCTTTCTTATTCCCCTCTTTCAAACTGAGAAATCCAATTTCCTACCTAAATGGAGTGATTGATACTCATACACACATAACTAATCTGTGTAAAAGTAAAGAACTACAGATGATTGCTTGTTAATTTGTAATATGGTGCAGGTTCCAGATCTAGCAGGGCAAGGCCATTGCACTGGACATCATGCTTAAAAATAGCAGAGGACGTAGCACAAGGACTATCCTACATTCACCAGGCATGGAGATTGGTCCATGGCAATCTCAAGTCCTCCAATGTTCTCCTCGGACCCGATTTCGAGGCATGCATCACAGACTACTGTCTATCCGTGTTGACCAACCCATCTAGCTATGATGAAGTTAGTGATTCTGCAGCCTATAGAGCACCAGAGACTCGCAATCCAAATCACCAGCCAACCCCAAAATCTGATGTTTATGCATATGGGATTTTGTTGCTAGAGCTTCTGACGGGGAAAACTCCTTCTGAGCTACCATTTTTGGTTCCGGGTGATATGTCAAGTTGGGTGAGGTCCATCAGGAATGACAATGGGAATGAAGATAGCCGAATGGATATGCTTCTTCAGGTGGCTACAACTTGTAGCTTAACTTCACCTGAGCAAAGACCCACTATGTGGCAGGTCTTGAAAATGTTGCAGGAAATCAAAGAGATTGTGCTGTTGGAGGATGGTGAATTCGACCTGCGCAATAGTGATGCCATGCCTTAAGTTTTATGTTTTATGTTTTTTGTTTACTTTGTAAACAGTGGATAGAAAGACAAAAGAGTAGTATTAATTGGGGTAAATTTTTTTAAAAAGAAATCCACAAGTTATACTCTTTGGTAATCCTTAAACTTCATGATCTTGGTACTAATTAGATTCTTGGAATCATGGTAGAATGTGAGGTGGGGTGCACATAATTTCCTCTTTTGACATAAGTGAGCTTGTGTTGTTTAGCGTTGATTCATTAAGTCTCAAGCCCGATTCCATTTAGTAGCTAACAGTTAAGAGGCTGTGAGTAGAGCGATTCGTTGCTTGCCAATTTTTGTCATATGCACCGTTAGCAGAACAAGTCACTACTCATTTCTGCATCCGGATTCAGATTTAGTCTACAATCCAAAACACTGACGAGTTAATTTCTATTTCTAACTTCTAAGGTGCAAATTTGGTTTAATACAGTAGGGTGTATCCTCTTTATTGATCTCTTCCTTTAATTTTTATCTCTCTATGATTATCATTACGATTGAAAAAATAGACAATAGAATAGTGTAAATTTTAATTGGATGCACAGGGGGAGAGCACATTAATGTACACATTTGATATTGGGTAGACTTCTAAGGTCATCCTTGACTGGAAGGGGTTTAATAAACATCGCAAATACTGGTGCTTTTTGAAACCTGGAGCCTGGGTAGAGGGATCTTTTATGATGCTATTTGTTTTCTCATCTCACTACGTGGCTGATTTCTGCTTGCTGGTCATGCAATGCATAGCAGCATATGCCTTGTATACCGTGGTCTTTGGAAAAGTCATGCTACGCCTACTGTTATACCTTATCTCTTTTACTACGGAATCCTAATCCGCCATTCACCATCAACCCGTAAAAAATAAAGTGGGCCGGGTTGGTTTGCCTTAATTTTTTTTGACAATAGTCAATTCATCCCGTTTTATAGAGGATTAATTTATTTAAATAATAATAACAATTTAAAATTTAAAAAAATATATTATTTTATGAATTTTATAGTGTTATCTAATTTTATCACCTTCTCCCATTCATTTTTTGCAATCCCAAATCTAAATATATTCTAATACTCTATTTGACCGTTTTTAGGAATTTATTTTTGCCTCATGAATAATTTCATCATTAATCAACTATTTTTTTTCTCTATTTTTGTAGAGAAAGGATAAAATAAAAATCTTAAATATCACAAAAGCTGACAAATGAAACACTATCTTGTACGAGAGTGTATCCTCTTATGTGTTAATTAATATCACCATGTCATGTGGAAGAATCTTAACTATATAAGAATGGATCAATGGTGATAAGAAAAGAAAAAGAGTAAAACTATCACCGTTAATTTGATTATTAGTAATTAATATCCTTTCACATGATATTACTATATTAAATAATACATGAGAGAATCTATTTTTCATCTTGTACTAAAAAAATAAATTTATGGGTTAGCATGCCTGACCCTTACCCACTTTAAGCAGATCAAACTTAAGCTCATGTATGATTCAGTGGTCCAAGTCAATGAAAATTAACTATTTTTTGACTTGCTTGTGTGAAGGAGAGAGAAATTTTATTTTATTTTTCTATAAATAGCAGTTCCTCACTGGAAGGAGTAGGTGTGCCAGGACTAGTACAAATGCTCTCGCCCGAGTGACTCATGGCTTGGTGTAATAATGTACATGTTGATTCTAATGTTTTGATTTAAATAAAAAGGGCCTTATTCTCTCATAGTGATTATTATATGTTGATTCTAATGTTTTTTTTGATAACATGATTCTAATGTTTTGATTTGAATAAAAAAGGGCCTTATTCTCTCATAGTGATTATTCTTAGTGCGGTATTTGATTATTTGTATGCAATGATAATGAATTTTAGCCACAAATGCCTTTACTGATAATAATGATTCTTTTATTATACTTTCTGTTTTTTAACAAGAATACTAATCTTTATAATTTTAAATATTTGTTGAGTTTATTTTTGGTTCTTGTGAAACTTTTTAATATTATCATTTAATTATGTGTTATAGTTGAAAGAGCTTAATCTTTCGTGTAACTGTTAAGTGCATTAAAACTAAGTTCATTATTGTCTTATGTGGTGTTATATAAGTAATATTTATAATGGAATTATTGAGGAATGCCTGAATTTGAACTTGAATTTTGAGTAAAAAGTTGACAAGTTACATTAACGGCTAATTGCTTCATTTTTTTTTTTTTGTTAAATAAAAGGCTAAACGCCCAGAAAAAAACAAACAAACTAATCAACGACTAAAACACAATCTCTCCCAACAGAAGAAAGATCAACTAAATATAGCAAATAAATTTCAGTAGGAGGAGTCTCACATAAAACTTTATCAACTCTCTGCTCAGTATCCAGAATATAGTTAGCAATCCAATCAGCGAAGTGTTACTCTCCCTGTAAATATGACTAAACTTAATTCTCCAATCTTTCTGTAACCAAGTCCGTATTCGAGTGACCAGATGACCCTCACGGACTGCTGCACCATTGTTGGTGAGCACAGAGATAACACTCTTTGAATCACTTTCGAACTCAATATGCCTATAGCCTTCACTCCACGCAATTTCCAACCCACGAAGAATTTCCCATAATTCAGCTTTAAAGGCTGAACAAAAACCAAGTTTAAAGGCAAATCCTTTTAACCAATCACCAGAAGCGTTTCGAATAATACCTCCACAAGCAGCAGGTCCTGGATTTCCTCGAGCAACACCGTCAGTATTAATTTTAACAAATCCAACCTCCGGAAACTGCCAAGAAATGCTTGCTGTAACAGTTCTTTTACCCATCTGATGGCTATTAGGCGAGTTGAAAGCTTGAACGACATCCCTCACCAAATTTCGAATTATTTGTTCCCTTATAGACAACTCCAATAAAGTAGCACCATGCCTAACCTCAGTTCTCTAGCACCAAATCTTCCACATTGCAAGGATAAAAAATGACAACCAATGATCCGGTAAAATAATCCCCCCTATTCCTCTCATATTGCACTCCAGCCAATGCTCCAGGTCCGTTTCAAAGAACATAGCTCTAAAATAATTTGGGACCAAATTAATCCACAAATTTTTCACTTCCAAACAATCTCTAAGAGCATGAATAATAGACTCACTTGCAACATGGCAGATTGGGCAAAGTTCGGCTCCTCCACCCCACCTGTTTATTGTTTCCATAGTAAGAAGCTTATGGTGCATAATTTTCCACATCAGAATTTTAGCTTTCTGAGGGCCATTCCAGCTCCACATCAAGGGCCACAAAGCACTATCTCCCACACCCGCTTGCTCTTCATAAGTCAGCCATCCATAGACATCTTTAACTGCAACTGCATTACTGCTTCCTATTATCCATCTTCTTCTGCCCGGGCCATCATCACTACACGGAGGAAGAGTTCCTTGAAGCATCTCAATAGCACTTGGTTGGATCCACTGACTTAACCCAGCAAAGTCCCATTCGCCAGAACTTAACACAAAATCTGCAACTTTAGAATTAAGATATAAGTTTGTAATACCTGGCATAAGCAAGTCTTGCATGTATGGAACATTAGTGAACCATTTATCACACCAGAACCTGATGTCTTTGCCATCCCCAAGTTCCCAAACCAATAACTCTTCTAATTTCTACCAAATTCTGCACAAATTTTTCCAGAAATTAGAGTCTCCATTTCTTTCCACAAAAATATCTCCCTTCTGCTGTTAGACATGTATTTAGCTTTAAGGACTCTAGTCCACAGTTGCTCCTGATCAGAAAACATATTCCAAGCTCTTTTAGCTAAAAAAACATCATTCATAACATCTAATCTCTTCAAGCCTAGACCACCAGTCTTCTTAGGCGATGTGATTGTATCCTAGTTAATTAGATGATGCTTCCTGACTCCATCTTTATCTCCCCAAATAAAATCTCTTTGGATTCTTTCAATATCTTTACAAACAGAAACTGGAATTGCTTCTTTTTACCTCTGTTGAAGTTGTTTAAATAAAACTTCCTTTTATTTTGATATATATTAACAGCCATTATGCCTATTATTTGCCGAATTATAACGTTAATGTTTTTGGGAACTTTTTTTTCGGTTTTTTCAATTTTTCGTTTTTGCAAGTGCAGTAATTGATAGCATGTGAGCTGTTATACAAGAGCGTTAATTTTTCATTTTTTTTCATTTTTCAATATCTCCAGCTTTGAAATTTCAGCAGGCATTTATCTTGTGCGTCCCCCATTCACAAATCCCACTGCTAAGCATACGTCATATCATATCTTTACGTAAAGAGCATATTAGGACTTCATTTTTTGTTCGCGTGTTTGATTTATTAGTTTTTTCCCCCCTACGGGCACAGTTTCGAATTCAGTAATCACGAACATGTACAACATTGAAGAGATATATCCCTAATGTTCAACATTGATTGATTTAAGTTCTGGGTTCGAATTTCATTGCGTGAGGGTATCTATGCTGTAACCCGAAATTCACTAGACAAGAAAAGAAAAAAAAATAAAAAAGTCGTTTTCATCCGCTTATTATACAATCTGTATCGTAGAATCTCTTTCAATATAATACCTAATATTCTTTACACACAAGAAGCCCTAGAGAATTAAAAAAAAAAAAAACCTACATAATTATTTCCTTCTGATATGTGACAAATGCTACTACAGCATACAATCTATCAACAAAAATCAATTGGCTTAAACACAAAGGGACCACAAGCAAGTACATTAAGGAATAGAAGACCCTCAATACACATTTCCAAGACTTGGCAAAAGAATCTTCCCTTCGTTTCTTCTAGTGTTGGTATGAACAGAACTTTAGCAGTAACTTTGTATGGCCAGAATCCACTAATATCTTCAAGCTAGCGATGTCTTAACTTTTTAATTATTTGGGTAGCTGTCCATACGTTACATTACACCTCCCCAGATGCTCCCTATGCAGTAATTATGGCGAAATTTCCAAGATCTAGACAGCATTATTCAAGACTGACATGTATATGTTTTTTCAGCAACCACTTATATTACTATGCTGCAAGAAATGAGAAATGTTAGATCAATGCATCTTCATTTACCATAAAAAGCTTTTGGACAGTTATGACCGTATCATATATAATTAATGATTAGCATAGAATAATATAAAAAAAAGAAAGATAAAGGGTAGATAGATATATATTCATTTAAATGAAGGATATTGGAAGACATAATTTTTTAAGAAAACCATATTTATAGCAGTGGCACAATGGTTTGCATGAAATTGTTATTAAAGAAATAAATTAATAAAGAAGGGTTACTACCTGCACCTAGTGCGCTTTTATTTCCAATGCCACTTGTCTAGAATAATTCTTGCGGGTCAAAAAATACTGGGCCACCGCAGCTGCGCTGATCATAAAAAGATCACATGACACGTGGCAAAGCCTGTGAGCGAGGCCTTGCTCTCATGATTGTCTCATCACTGTGTCGAATCAATTCTGAAAGTCTCCATGGTTTCTGCCACTTCCACTTGAATTGTAGAAGCCACTGATGATGACTTCTTTTCCACCTCCATAGCTTGCCAGAAGCTTGTCCTACAATTGCTAGTTTTTTCATTGACAGCTGCCCGATGGGTATCATCTGCATTAAAAGCAAATTCACATCCGTATCCAATAAAAGACACATACCAATTTCATTTAAATGAAAATTAACTTACTCTTCTACCCTGATCTACAAATGCTGCCGATTCCCTCACTAAGCCATTAGCAACCCCTGGCGCATATTTCAGCTGTTTTGGTACTGGCACAGACACTGGAGATCCCTTCATGTCTTCATAGTGTTTCAATGAATTTGGAGAGTTTCCCTGTTGATGTCCAGTGATGATAAGTTAACTACTAACAAAGGAAGCAATATACTGATACAATGACTATAATATGCAAAAGTAAAAGTATGCCAACCAAACTTTCGCTACAACCACCACCATAAAATATCAGCTACAAAGCATATTATGACAATGACTGACAGTCCTAAATAAAGGAGACAGTCATGACTTCTGAGAAACTATGAAGCTATTTGAAAATCCTCAATTATAATTTGTTTATAGTTTAAGCAATGTAACCTACTTGTCCTTTGCTGCTACTAAATTCTGAAAACCTCAAAGTTACACTAGATAGATGTTAAACCTTCAGGTTCAAATTCATTTATAATCAAGTTCAAAAGGTCTCTAATTCAGGTGGCAGCAGCATCAAGAAAGCAAAAGCCTAAAGATCAAAGAATCTCATTATTTTGGTTTATTTTGATTACGGGGCTGATTCTACTAGACCAAGACTTTACTGGATCCTTATCATTTAATATTAGTAGGATTAGGATTGGGATTAATAAGCTGTTAATTCTGTTAGTCTTGGAACTGGGAAGTATGTTAATAAATTTATTAGTAGGTCAAGTATTTGGGGTCTACTTCGTTCAGTTGAAAATGAGGAAGTAAAAAATAGGGAGGAGGAAAATTTGGAATTAAACTAACTTTACACTGGTTTCGTATAACAAAAAAAATGTGGAGAGGCTGACAGTTGAAAGCAACGTATTTTGACTCTAGGCTAATAACTTTTGGTCTCTCCTTGTCATCAAGAAGTGAGACGAGTTTTTATTCATTGTGCCCAAGAACCTTCGGTGCCATGCCTAGGTTAATTTCTTCTACTCCTACTAACCTAGTTCTTTTTTTCTCCAACTTTATCAGGTGCCTAGATCTGATTCTTTGACAAACAACACTACAAATTAGTTATTTAATTATTTTAAACCCTGGTTAATTTTTCCTCGAATCTACTCTAGAATCCATCAAATCCTAAATCCAAAATTCGCAGACTGTTCACAGCCCTAGAACAGCACTCTGAATCAATAATTAAGGGCCGAAGTATAAAGTTATGGCATCTGTCTCCTTAATGAAATGTTTCTTATTGAGCATATAATGCTTCACCAAGCAACAATAATCTTACAGAAGCTGGTGTAGCCAATGCTGTTGCAGCATCTTGCTCTCTCACTTTTAGCTCCTTCTCAACTTCCTTTCTCTTCATCTCACTTTGCCGTAATAGACCAACAAGTTCTTTTATTTGATCTTTAATTTCCCTGATCTCCATGTCCTTCTCCCAGAGATTGCACCTGTTATTGGCATAGGAACTCAGACATCAAATTTCCATCTATAGAGTAGCACATGCCAAAATACACGAGTTAATATAGTGATTCAACTTGACTATTAATTTCATATATTCCGCTTGTTATCATACATCTGATGTTTGTTTGTGTTCAATTAGCAAATTGTTCAGTTAGCTTATTTTAGAGATTTGAAAAAAAAAACGAAAATACAAATAGAAGAGAGAAAAGTTTAGGTCAAAGCAGCACCTAGCATCTGCAACAGAATTAAACATATATTGAAGCAAATTCTTGGCTTCTCCCATTGAGCGCAACTGATTCCAGCGTCCACGATTAGTGAAGGCCCGCTCTCTTTCTTCTGCCTCGGAAAGTTGAGAAGCCATTGCCACAAGTGAATTAGACGATATGCTGAGCATGTTCTCAAGTGAAGCTATTCTGGCCATTCTTGCGTTTGGTGGCATGGACAATGCCCTGAGAAAGACAAGTTAAAAGCAACTAGTAAGACAGATCCTTTGTATATTCGATGCATTGTTATTTTACAAATCTAATATTTTGAAAAGTGAAGACTGAAGGGGTAGGCATTAGCAAATTAAATAGGATTTATATAAAAAAAGAGAAGAAAAAAACCTGGCAAATCCGTTCTTTCCTCTCGGAGGACTGAGACCCTTAGCAGCAAACTCGTTTACTTGCTTAAGCATGGCTAACTCCTCTGCAAGGGCTGCTCGCCTGAAGATTGCACCATAAAATTAAAGACAACACTATAGATCAATCCCCAACAAAAATAATTACTGAACATGTGTTACATACACTTGGCTCTGTTTCTCGTACTCAAAACGAACTTCATGCTCTTTTACCATAACTTCTAGTTCGTGATCAAGCCAACGTTGTAAGGACTTCTCATTGCTCTAAAGAAGAAACTCAAAAAACTAAAGATCACATGGATAGTAAAGCAAAACTAAGAAGAGGAAGGAAAGTTCATTACCTGCCCATTCGTTCCACTTCCATTCATTGTAACTGGAAAATGAAATAGAGTTCGAATAGTAAACAAAAGAAATCAGTCCATGCACTGATACCACCGTGCGATTCATTAAAAGACAGTCTCTTCTATTTAAGGCATTTTAAAACAACATCCATTTCAGATGCTCCGATAAACTAAAACATAAATTTTAATACCATACATGTGAAAATACAGTTCACTAAAATGAGCATCTTCTGTCATGGATTCTCGGAAGCAATGTTTTCAAACTCGGCCCGGTCATCGACTCGGTCAAGATATTGGATTACTGGGTCAGTGGTTCAATCGGATTTCAAAAAAATATATAATAAATATTAAATTATGAACATTAGTCCAAAAAATAAAAGTGGTCCAGTGGTAAGCCTTTCGATCCCCAAACAAAGGGACTCAAGTTCGAATCTTGTTACTTGTAAAATGTATATATTTTACATAATTTAACATAAAACCGGTTGAACCTAGTTTTGGTACCGGTTCAACCATGTTGAACAGCAGGTCATGACTGGTTCACCGAGCTTATACCGGTTCAACTACATGACTGATCCAATGTCCAACTTGAACCGGTGAGGGAACCAGGTCACCGAAACCCGGGTCGATCCGGCCGGTCCGAGCCGGGTTTTAAAACACTGCTCTCAAGCCTCAAAAACTTAAATTGATTATTCTCCACTAAATACAAATCATACCTAACGTGTCTCGAGTTGATGTTTTTCGAGCTTCTAACAACTCCTTTAACCTCTTGGTGGCCATCGCAGCTTCTTCAGTTTTTCTCTGAAGGACCTGAAAGATATATACATATTTATTTAACATAAGCAGTTTTTCATGTATAAGCCATGATAGTCACAAAATCAATAATAATATCAACTGTGGGGTGTTGGCCCTCTGAACCTTTTCCTTTTACCTATTAAGAATTATGCATGTTGAGTGGAAAAACATAAACAAAAGTACTCACAGAGTCACAGCATGTCTGTTTGATTTGGTTTCTTAAAATCACAAAATGAAAAATGTTTTATTTAACTCTAAAAAAAAGAGACTAACTTTCTGTATATTTGACATCTCCGGAGGAATACATATGCTAATTTTCAGCATGAGTGAATATTAATCTCTAAAAGAATGTCTGGATAATTTATAACCAAGCAGTAACACTTTTGAAATTTATGAATTCAACTTTATTTTCTAAAGTTGTTTGATTTTTTTTGGGACCTTTCGGAAGCTAGTAAAACGGTTTCCTGAAATTAGCAGGAGTTATTTATCTCAAACATGTAATCGATCTTGATTAATGTTTTACACATAGCTACACATTGTTGATTAACTTATCTGAACCCACACCATGAAAAAGGGATCACTCTGCAATTTTATTCCATACAACATCATTTTAGTGACCTCTAAATTGAACCACATCATACAGTGCAGGCTTCTAGAATCAAGAGTTCAGCCCATAAGAACAATTTATTCTTTTAGTTTTCATTACACTTATTTCATTAAAAACCTCGAAAACAAAACATAAAGGTAGAGTATCATATCTCTGTCTTTTAGTAGTTAATGCATACAGAATGTAAAGAGTGGCCCAGCTCCCTTGTAAGAAAAAAAAAACAAAAAACTGGGCAGGGAAAAAAAACTGTCCCACCACAATTTCCTCAGTCTTAATATTTATCCCTAATTTAGACTGATGAGCATTTGGCACGTGTAAGAGAAGAAAAAAGGAGAGCAGGCCGGAGAGAGTTGGGCAAGTGAAAATTGTACATATTTATGAGAGGAGAAACAGGAATGCTGATAGGACTAAGGAAGAAACAATAGGGGGAGTTGGTAACAGAATGAACACGTGACAGTAAGGTATTGGAGTGGAGAATTGTGGAATGATGGGAGAGGAAAGGATACGTGAATAAAGAGGGAGTACGAAATAGTGTGGAGACACAAAAGGATTTTGGGAAGACCAGGGTAGGCAGAGACTGTTTTTAGCTCTGATTGTATTTCTTTATTGCATTTCCGGCATTTCTTCCATTCCACTATGTGTTTCAGTTTGTAGAGCAGTAATTTTCCTTGTAAAGGAGATTCCCCCATCGAATTCTATCTTATTTTCAATATGAAGAATCAGTTCCTATCATAGACAAAATCATAACCCCTATGGATTAGAGATTATCAGTAATTTGACCTGAACAATTTTCTTAACTGAAAATTCAAACAAAGTGAACATATTGTTAAAAAGTAGACATACTTTTTAAATACTTGCAGGAGTATCCATTAACTGGAAATCTAAGAATAAAGCTTAATCACTCCAATTGCCAACAACATTGACAAAGCTCAATTGCAAATGGCTTAGGTGATTTATTTTATAAAGTATTCAAAGCAAGATTATTAAGTAAAACAAACTAACCATTGAACAACTTGGAAATTCTTACCATTTTCTGGCGCTGATTTAAAGCTTGCAGCTTATGCCTTTCATACTCATTTCTTCTTCCCTCCTTCCTTAACTGCTTTTGCAGACATATAATCAATGCAAGGTGATCAATTAGCACACTAGCTGTAAATGCAAGTAAAAAATGACATGGCCTCTAATTCCACCTTTTTTATTTTTTATTTTTTATTTTTTATTTTTTATTTTTTTTACTTTTTGTCAACCGTTTTGTATCTTTCATGTGGGTTCATCTACCACCGACCCCAATTAATTTGGGATAAAGGTGTTGTTGATGTTGATGTTGATGTTGATTTGCAAGCTTTAAGGCAGTCAGGACTCAAATTTTAAATTAAGAATGCATCGATGTTTACTATTTTACAAAGAAAGATCAACTGATAAGGAAGCAATTATTTAATTTAGGGAAAAACACTAATTGGTAAACTTTCAGCACCTTAAGATGTCTTGGAGAAGTAGCATGAAAAAATTAAATAAAGGGCAAATTCCGGTACACAAAGCTCTTTGACTTTTGAGGGTAGAGGTGAGGATTAATTGTATGCAACTTTACCCCTGCATTTTTACAAAGAGAATATTTCCTAGACTCGAACCAATGACCTTCCGGTCACAAGGAGCAATATGACTGCTGCTCCAAGGCTTGCCCGCTCATGAACAAATTAAAAAAAATGTAAAGTGAGGAAGCTTGACATACTTGCAACAGCTCCTTTTCTCTAGAAGCCTTCCACTGCCGAAACTGTTCCGCTTCTTGTTTTATCCTTTGTTGCAATTGAACCTGCAATATTAGTCAGGTTATAACAGAGCTAGTATATTACGTGATTACAGCCATGAATTTGAAGAAATACAACAGGCAACCTTTTGGGCCTTTATGGACTGTATTTCATCTTGCAGTCTCTTTGCTGCTTCATCACTTTTTTGCTTTTGCTTCAGAAGCTGGACCTGGCTCTCTTGTTTCTTCTTCAGATCCAGAATCTAGCATGCAGAGTTTTGTAAAGGTTTTTGCAATTCAGAATATCTTCCAATTTAAATCTTACAAAATGGAAAATACATTTATTTATTTAAAAAAAATGACATTGGAATCTTCACCTGTGCTTCAAGTGCTTTCAATTTTTGGGCATGGATATCCTCTAATTTCTGTGTTTGTCCATCAGAATTGGCAGCAAGATTTTCAACTTCAGCCAAAAGACAATCTCTCTCTCTCTGTATTAATAAATCAGGCGCATATATGAATATTAATTTTTTCTATAGGTCAAAATAAATTTGCATAACTTCTATTAAACCTGCACAACTCTCTTCTCATCCTCTAGTTCCATTATCTTCCTTCCGAAATGTTGCTTGAGTACTTCAGCATCAGATTCTCCAAAAAGCTTCATCTCAGACTGTACAGACATTAATCCCAATACGTACATTAATATAATATGAGACAGGATAAAATATAAAATACACTTCTAAAAGAGTCTAATTATAATGTTTTCTAATTCTCCAATAATGCTGGGAGAAAACCACTCCGCTGCTTCAATGATATTCTTTTCCTTTTGGTGTCCTGTTAATGATTAAATTCCCATGTGACGAATAATGTGATAATTTTCAGTAGCATAACAACCTTACTAAGCTATGTGCCTGCTTCATAAAGAAAATGGACTGAAGTAAAACACAGTTATTTACTAAAATAAAGCAGGACACCATATCAAGCATCAGAAATAAATTTCTCACGGTAAAGTTGCTGAAATTATGGAACAGACATCGCCCATGGTTGTGCTGTTTTCAATATGCTATTGCTTGATGCAAAATATGTCATGGATATGTCACTAATTATACATATGCACTATAACAACCTCTTTCTGCTCCAAGCGTTTATTCAATTCATGTAACTCTCTATCCATACTATTTTGCAGAAGTGTGTGCTCCCACTCTTTTGCTACTTCTTCAATTTCCCTTGAATCACCTCCTAAAATTGGCAATTGGTACCCTGAATCATTGATCACACTTTGATGGAGTAGTAGCAGAGAAAGAGATGGATAAATAACTGATTTAAGCATGACCAGAATTGGCATTAATAACATGTTAAATCCAGGCTGAAGAAGAAGAGGTTTACCTGCTGTTTCACTCATTGGATAATCAGCTGCTATGACAGGTAAGCTCCTCTTAAGCCCATCAGTCTTCACGCCGCATGTGCTACCATCCTGAAAAACATAGTTTTTAAGCTTGCATGCATAGCCTATCAAGTCAATATCCTGAACTAACTTTAATAAGTGGACTGCAAATAGCAAGATGAGATGAAAGGACAAATATAGGCATCAAAACAGTATCTAAGAAAAAATTTCTTGAGTCGAAGAAGAATATCAACAGCAAAATAAGAGGCATACATAAGCATCCTTTTCACATTGTTGTACAATAGAGCATCTACTACGGTACTCATGAAGTTCACGGCAAAGATCTTCATTAGAAGCTTCAAGCCAAGCAATCCTTTCCTTAAGGACCTACATAATCAGTTATAAGATGATTATATATTTATGATCTGAATACAAAGCATTTCAATGTATGTAATTAAGGTAAATCAAAGAAGTATCCATAAAAATAGAGGCACAATCCCAATTAAGGGTAGAATACTTTTCTTTTTAACAACCAACACCATAATGGGTATTGATTGGGGTTCCTAACCATGCACCATAATTCTAAACCATTAGACGCTACCACTAGCCCATTACAGGAAATATATTAAAGTAATCAAGACGCCACTGAAGATTCAAGTTAAAAGAAGCCAACTACCTGAACTTCCTCTGAGGAGCCGCCAGAACGAGCACAAAGTTCTGCCTGCAAATACTCCAGTTGTTGTCGCATTTTTAGCATCTCATTGGACATGGGGTCTCTATTAATCTACAGAAGAATAAACAAAAATTAGCATCAATGACTATCATAACAAAATTATCTCGATTTTGCCAAATGAAAGATAAGGAACAAAAAATTTATGCAGATACTTACAACAGGCTTATTTTGGATATTGCGTGCACGATTTGCGTACTTTAAAGTGTTAAGGGTTTCCTCAGCATTAATATCAGCAGGACTTATGCAGGCTGAAATAGAAATATCTTTGATGTAAGAAGAAAAAAGATAAATTCAGCAACAATAAAAGAAGTAAAGTCAACATTGACATGCAACTTGAAAGGTTTGGAAGTAAAGCTGAAAAATAGAATACAGCATTCTAATCCTTTCCACCAATCATTTAGTACCATAGAGAAGTTGCAAGAAATTCAAATCCGCTGAAACATAATTTCAACAGTTTCCAGAGTATGGGAAGATAGGTTTGAGAATGTAAAATATAAAAAAAATAGTTTACGCATTGTTATGGTGTCTTAATTCGTTTTTAACATTTCGAGCCTCCCTGTTTTTTTTTTTCATTTGAAAGACACAACTGTGTTGATGAACATAAATTAACAAAGAGAACAGGATTAAAAAAAATCAGATTAGTAACTAGAGCTCTGTGCATTAGAAATATTGCTTGAAGTTGACGATCAATTACTGGATAGAAATAAATAAAAATTATTGGTATACAAAGAAAGTATTAGAAACAACTGACCTATCATAACAGTTCTGCTGTTACCTCCAAGTGAATCCTGCAAAATCATTTAACTTTTATCTAGAAATATATAAAAATATAAACATAATTAAACTGAAAAGATCAAAGAAAGAAAAATTGAAAACAAATATTTCATACACATGTTTCCTGTTTTATATTGTATTCTTTTATCAGTAATAATTTTTTTCTTCTAGGCAATTGTAGTATTCCAGTTCAGAATGATCCAGATCCAGTACAGGTGAGATTTCGCGAAAAAAAGGATGTGTTCATAGCATAACACAATCTGAAAATAAAGAGCTTCTTATGGATTTCTACGTTGATGAATTTGGAGTAATGAGAGATACAGGTCACACTGATTCTTCTCTACATAAAGTACCTTCAACATCACAATAAAGAGAAGTGTATACTGTAAGAAGGAAGCGAAGTATAAAGATATCAAACCTGCAAAAGCCTAGTAAGTTTACTATCCCTATATGGAACATGAACGCCTTCCTTTCGCTTCTTTTCATCACCAAGTGCACTAATAACATTACCAAGTGCTAGAAGGCCTTTGTTAATGTGAACTCCTGTTTGAAAAGATTAAATGACTAGTGAATACATAATGTCAAAAGCATGCTTAAAAGATAAAAGTGAAAAATGTTTCAAACTAACCTTCCTTAAAACGCAAACCATTAGAACCTGTTCTTTTAGCTCGTTCTGATCCAGCAAGATCCACTAAGTGCAACTTGGCACAGAGATACTCTTCATTCATGATATCATTTAAACAGTTGTCACTAGGACTGTTCACCTTCCGCATTTGCTCTAAAGTGATGGTGAAGATGGCATGAGATCGACTAGTTGAACACATAATAAAAGAATAATAAGTAATAGAAGAGAATTCTAGCTGAATAGAGAGTAACAGCAGTTTGAGGCACAACTTTTTAATCTTGGATCGATACCACCAAGTTGCTGAAAAATTCATTGCAAAAATCATTATAAGTGTTGCAAAATTGCAAGCATTCTCGTAGTGACAAAAGATCCATCTATTAATTATTCACTATAATAACCAGAAATCCATAGCATTTCATACAGAACTGGTTTTAAAGGATATAACACAAAGCTCAGTCCCATCGTTAGATGCTTAAACTGCAGCAGAGTTAAAGGTAAAAAATATCCAATTTCTTAAGTTAGTTATTGATTTATTATCTGAATTTTATGCGGCACAGCTCTTGCTCTAATGGCATCTTGCAGTCACATGTTATCCAGAAGTAGTTTATGAATCTAAAAATCATATAAAAAAAATATTTCATGAATAAAAACTAATTTGTGGAGTTCAAAGAAGTGAAGAAAAATGCATTATCAACCTGGATTGGTTGTTCATATTTGTGCTCCCAGTTGCTCTGCTCAATGATCCCTGTTCCAGGCAAGCAGCCATTTCTTTTAGTGTTGTGACACTGACTTCAGTAGATCCTGCAAGGGTAATGACACCATTTGATGTCTCACGTATTTGTATTGGTGGCTTCCCAGGAGATGTAATTTTTCCTGCATGTCCATTTACAGTTTCTGGTTTGCTCATAGAGGAGGGATCCAGCAAGTCTCTTACTTCTTCTTTAAGAATCTTTTCACAATGAAATATTGTTATCAGATACTTAATCTAAATAACTTAGCAAATATGAAATTTATTAGTTTCAGATATTAAAGCACAACTAAACTACAAAAACCATGCTGCAAGCAGTATCAAACTTATCAACAGACCTCAATAAAGGAAACGTGCAACTGAAATTCAATCTGGTGCTTTAAGGTTCCAATTTTGTTGAACAAAACGTTCATAACTTGGGGGACTATTCCTGTTTGGCAACCATCTTTAAAGCCAGTTCCCATGGTGTACGTTTTCCCAGAGCCTGTCTGCAATGGAGTGAAAGTGTCAAATCCAAAAGAGCTACAAGTGTAGTAGCATGAAACTTCTTTTTCCTTTAGCAGTGACTATACCTGGCCATAAGCGAGAACAGTAGCATTATATCCTTGGAACAAACCATCAACAAGGGGAGCAACACATTCTTCAAACATGGCACACGAGGGAGAACCAGTGCTTCCATAAACATGATCAAATGTAAAGGAGTGGGCGCCAATTTGTACCTGTATTATAGTGACACACAGCATATGATTCCCCAGCCAAATTTTCATCTACTTAAAGGATACTATTATAGGGTGCCATTTCAGAAGTAGGTGCCTAAATGGCTTAAAATAAACCATAATCAATTGTTATCCATGCAAACATGGGAAAATATACTGAATATTGACTCTCTTTGAAAACAAAAGAGAATCACTAACAGATTTCAATTGGAGATAGAAGACATATAGAGAAAATTCAGCTTGATAACTTTATAAAGAAGAGGAGACTACGACCTATCATTACAAAAAGGAAATCAGCGTATAATTTCTAACCAGAAATAGAATGAAGTCAAATATCCCAATTAGGTAAGTATCAGACCACTCTATAGTTTTCGAAGACACATCTTTAGTTACTTGAGCAGTTTCGGATCCAGATCTACCACATAAGGCTATAAGTCAAAAGGGGAAATAGCTAGAATGCAGGAGTTAAACATTGTTGAGAGTCAACGACAATGCGCTTCAGTTTTCACATTTGATGAATGAATGAATGACACTGTTGAGTTGAGAGTAAGTGAACCTGAGGCTTCCCAGGTACGACGGTGACACAATCTTTGCAGCCTTGAAGTTTCTCGTCGGCGATGAGTGGCCGAACATTGACCGCAACCTTCACGCAACAATCTTCCCCTGCTTCCATGGGGAAGCAGCTTACAAACAGAGTGAGACACACAGAGAGAGAGAGAGAGAGAGCTCTGACCAGAGATCAATTCGCTTCCACGAGAAAGAAGAAGCTGAAACTGAAAGAGTCTCCGACAACGCTAGAGAGAAATTAATATAGTTAGAGATGGAAAGAGAGAGTGTGTATGAGCGAGAATAAAGGGTAATTGTGGAAATAAGAGGGTCTGAATCTGATAAACAAGCTGCGCCAGGTAACTGTAAAGACAACAACCACTATCATTTTCCCTTCACTCTCACTGCATTGTGGTCGCGTGCTTTCAACCTTTTCTGATTCTCACCTTCTTTCCCAATCTGCCCCTCCTAACGGCGCTGTACACCTGTACTCCCGCATAAAATGTTCTGTTCCCGTTTTCACCGTATTTAATTATTATTTATCACCCGTTGGCTTAATACTTGTGCTCTTTTTCATTTTAATTAATACTTTTTCGAGGATTCTTTTTTTTTTTTTTTTCATGTATTTCACAAAAAGTTAAAAAAGAAAAGATAATAAATAAGGCAGGTGAAAGGAGAAGAAGGGTATGAAAGAGAGCAAGTTCGAGAGAATGGAACAAACCTAACGTAATCTAGTTGAGATGTGGATTTGAGAACAAAAGTAGGAAAAGGAATAACACAACGCACAAAGCCACGTGATGCGGAACCGGATACAGTACTCCATTATGGAAGGGGGAGAGCTTTGTGCCTTTGACGGTACCCAGTCATAATCACTGTCGTCCATTTTCACAGGTGCCACAGTAATAGTATACTTGTTCCTTAGTTTCTTGAGTCAGGGTTTGCATGTGTGCATATACGTCGTGTGCATATTTTAGGTTTATAAATTTTCATCCTCAGTGCATTTTTGTCTCAAATTTCTCCCTAACACTGTTTAGGCATATGCAAATAGTATGATATATTGATTTAATTACGAAGCCGACCACTTAAGCCAAGTTTAGGCAACTTTTAGGATGGGTTTGGTATAAGTATTTTAATCGGAACGATGGAAAAGTAGGGTTGGATTTATTTTTTGACTATGTTTAGTATTAAGAAACATAAGAAATTCTCAGCCAAATAATTTTTCCAGCATTTGAGTTTGTAACTATAGTCTGAAAAAAAAAATCTCTCCTTACGTATGGTATTTTTCTCCCTTGAATTCGGATTCTGATTTTTAAGTTTTGGGACTAAAATGTCCTCTTGTTTCATGACTGACATACAATATTTTCAAAAATGATGGATAATTTGATAAATTCGATTCACAATCCTATCAGTATTTTATAATCAACTAAACAGAGCATCAGTCAACTCAACTCAACTTTTATGGCAATATTTTGGGCTATCAAACATATTTTCGTTATTTTTCAGGACAAAATATTTTTCTACCATATTCATAGGAATTTTTTTTTTCGGTAAAAAAAAAATTATCTCTTGCACCAAAGACTCCCTAAAATCATTAATTCTACATAAAATTGTTAGGCCGAGGGAGAGATACGAAAAAAAGAAAAAAGAAAAAGGACTACAGATCAAGATTGGACCGAAAGATAGGAGGGGAAAAAAAACAGCAAGAAAAAGAAAGAAAGAAATAAAGGTAGCACAAGAGTATAAGGAAAAGGGAGTAGAGGCCTTGGATTTGGGTAATATAACGTTAGAGTTGACAGAAAAAAGAAAAGACCCACCTATTGGCCAAATCCAGCTGGGCTGGACTCTCCACTCACATGGCGCTTAGCTTCTATAATATAGTGGGGGCCATGGGCTGTGGGAGTGGCAGCTCATAAATTCATCTTTGTAGTATGCCACTTTAAGCATAGTATCACCCCTTGCCTGTCAGTGTGAACCGTCGAAGTGTATGTCTACCTGTAAAACCAGCACATTTGTAGACGTAACAATCAAGAATTAACAACAAATAGAAGTTCCAACGGTACTGTACCCCAACATAAACCAATAAAATTTGAGTGATATTATGCGTACGTCACTTTCATATGTACGCATCTTCCTATTTTAATTTTAAGTAAAACTATATATCTACACACATTATGATTTATTTTATTCGATATTCGATCTTTGAAAGTTTTATATATTAATTTGTATTTATACTTTTTATTATTCAATTGTAATTAATATTACTAGATTTTTATATGTTTAGGTTTTAATTTTTGTTTCACATTCTAAATGATGAGTAATTGAATCTTATATTAGCTAGGAATGAATTAAGTAAGATATTTATAAATTTAATATCTTAAGATTTTGGATTAAAATGTAATATATATTAAGTTTACTGTTATTTGTTTTTTTTTAAATATTATTTGACTTTCTTACTAACCCATTAAATATTAATTATGTTCTCCCTCCAACCGGGGAAATTGTAATTCATTTAAGTGGAATATCCATAAACTAAACTCAACGCTTTCTATCTCAGTATTATTCTCTTGTTCGTCGAATTTTTCCTACCGACTAAGATATGATATAGGCATGCATGCAAAACGCCAAGTAATTTACCCCTTCACAAAAATGACTCTACTTTTACTCCTTGTTTTTATCTTTTCATTATAAGAAAATCAAGGAAAATCATGCACTCTTATATGAACTTTAGACTTGTACTTGCATCGCCACCCATTCAAAAGACAATAGAGTTTGATAATTGAATGATTCCACACCTCCGATCCATTCTCCTCCGAGACAGCATATTCCATTGAATTTTCAGCTACAAATTAAAAGACAACATTTAACAAGAACCTCTGCACGCATCCTAGTATCCTAGCTGTCTCTATATATAATTAAACATACGTCCACGTCTTGTTAAGGGGAGTACATTCATTATTATTTTAATAAAAAGCAGGAAACGGGGCAAAAAAATTAGGAGCGTTTGAAAAACAGTTCAAAGTTGTTGCACGGGGGCCACCAATGCGGATGACAGGAAAAGATGTAAGATTTTGGTGACTGGTGAGTGCAGTTTGATGGTATATATTGACTACACTGCTTTAAGTTGAAGGTCCACACACCATGAGCGAGCTTGCTTGCAGATAGATTTATATATCAAGCTAAACTCATTTATAAATAATATTGGGCTTTCGCTTTTTTTGTAGGGAGAGGCAGGGGCCATACCTGATGTACATTTTCAAGAGCTCAGCTACATGTTGTCCTTAGCTAATAAATATAGGACAATATATATCAATGTCACATAGCATAGCAAATATAGAACATTCATGTGAGGTTGCGTGACACTTTTGAAATACTATAATACGATTTCCTGGGTAGCAACTGGTAGGTACTCCATTCTGGATTATGGACTTATACAAATGTATTTATGTTCACAGAGACTCAACAAAAGTTTACGTACGTTGAAGTATTTTAGGGTATCAAAAACATTCTTAATAGTACCGTATTTAGAAATTTCATCATTATTGCTGCTCGAGAGTTTAAAAATGGAAAGTTATAGTTTTGGCCATGGTAGTGTGTGAAAAAACCATTCTAACTAGGTAAGGATTTTGAACATTTTTATTTTATTGTTCAATCCCAAATCGAAAATGACCTCTCCTCTATATGTCACTTTGCCTGGCTTTTCTTTTCATGTGATGGTGGACTACAAGGAAAGCAAACTTGCAGTAAAAACAATTGTTCTTTTTTATCAGCATTAATTTCTCTGCCATCTTTATTTTGAAGGAAGAAATAAGAACTGTCGGGAGGGAGGGTGGGTGCATAAGTGATAAAACCCCAACCTCAAGCTTCCTTTCAACCTAACTCTTCATTCATTGGATTTTGTCATCCAAACGTTACCTCAGATGCAAACAAAGCAACCACAAAGTGGTTCCCACTCAACTGTTTATTTGGGCTTCGCATGACAACACGTCTTTTTTTAGCACCTGTAGTTAAATGGACACTTGCGACTAACATCAGGCGGAATTTGTAAGTGTTTCTTCTAGCGATGTATATAATTCAAAATTGCATTCAACTACCAATAATATAATATATAATAATAAAAATATTTTTATTTAATAATTTATTTTTTTGGGGAGTTGGTTAGAGCTTTATAATTTAAGAGATGCACCGACACGGACACGAGACACGACTAGATACGACACATTAATTCTAAAACATGTCATATTCCGACACGTTGGGACACGTTTTGATATTACATAATATTTTTAATATATATAATATAATTTATATTTAATACATATAACAGCTCATAATAAGTTATATAACCAATCAAATATTCAAATTTTATAACATAAATATAAACAAAAATAATTTTTCATATTTTATTAATTTTTCATGTCAAATTTTCTAACATAGAAAAATTGATTTATAAATTATTTTTCATATTTAGTTAATAAAATAAAATTTATTTCAAAAAAAAAAATGTGTCAAATGCTTGTCGGAGCGTTGACCGCGTGTCGAAAACAGTTGACTGCATGTCGAAACATGTCAAAGCGTTGATCACGTGTCCCAAAATATTGACCGCGTGTCGGAACGTGTCGGTGTCCGACACGCATCTTTCCATTTTTTTTTGCGTGTCTGTGCTATGCAGTTTAAGGGCGCGTAGAGTTTGATTTCTGCAGCTTCGTTCTTTTAATAAAAAGTTAATTTTTTAAACCCTAAAAATAGTTTTTAATATGGTCGCCAGTGTCAATAAAATCGGATCGATCCGACCGGGTTGACTCGAAAATTGGTAAACTGGTCATATAACCGGTCTGGTTGAAGCAATGAACCGGCCATGCATCAGAACCGCTGCGACCCGGTCTGACCCGACCGGTTTTCATGAAAATCGGTGACTCGGTCGGTTAATCGGTGACCCGACCCGGTCTCAAAAAAAAATTCCATTTTTTTTCAAAAAAAAAATCATAATGGACATATTTGAATATTTTTTTGCTTATTGATTTACATAAGCTATGTACCTAAACCACTAATATTATCTCAATTATGCACTATGTAGAAAATTTTGATTTGATTTATAATTAGAGATGTCATTTTCTGAACCTAAAGTCTCGTATCACGATCATTATATTTTTGTTTGATCCTTTATTGGATAATAATATGTGATTTATTATTTTTATATTAAAATATTTGAAATTTTTATCATTTTTTTAGAAATTTGAGTATGCTTATAATTTTTTTAATATAAATTATAAATTTGCATATAATTATCGGGTC